GTTCAGTTCATAAAGAATAAAGTTGGAAGATATAAGAATCTGGGGTACACTCCAAAGGATTTGGATAATGTTGTACAGAAATCCCGAAAAGATGACGGCGATCTAATAGGAGATGTGAACCAAACATTGGGTTACTTGCAAAGTAGACATACTTTTCAGATTTAGGCAGCTTCATCAAGTACACAATCAACTATGAAGGTGAATTAAGCAATCTCTTTTGGTCGGACTCCACATCTAGAGCAAATTACCATTTTTTGGGATGTCTTGGCGTTTGATGCATGCTACAAGAGCAACAAGTACAATCAGTCATTTGTTATGATGGTTGGTGTAAATCACCACCACCGTAATATCATATATGGTTTTGCCCAGTTGGATAACGACACAATCCCCAACTATACGTGGTGCCATTGCTACTATACTGGTTGGAGTGCCTCATCGACTTTGTATTTTGCATATTGAGACAAATGCGACAACGACCGTTCATAATAGAGAGTTTGTTAGCGCATTCACCCACTTGGCAAAAGCACGTATATCAACTGAGGAGTTTGAGAGGCGCTGGGACCGTTTGATTACTGAGCAAGGTTTGTCTGCAAATAAGTGGTTACACACGCTGACAAATTACTTTGGGCAAAGGCATACTTGACAGATATTTATTTCGGTGGACTCCAATCAACCTCGCGATGTGAGTCATGTAACCATTGGATAAATGGGTATGTGGGAACTCAATACAGCTTGTAATGTTTTGTTGTGGACATTGATGAAACACTGGAGGGATACGTTTCACGGAGGTGCATGATGATTATTCTTCTAGACACATGAGGTTGGTCTGCAAGCATGCTCTTCGCACATGGGAAATGCAAGCTGAAAGTATCTACACACATCGTACATTTACTATCTTCAAGTTTGAACTAGAGAACAGAGCTTCTTATGTGTTAGCGGAGACAAGAACTTAATCAGATGGGACAGAGACATTCATTCTGAAGAACTGCATGAACCCGAATCGGATAAGGAAGTTAACATTTACTATGACCAATCAACATCTAAAATGTGAGTGTGCATTATTTGAATCTAAGGGGTTTCCATGCAGACATATGATTACAATCATAAAAAATAAGGGATTTACATCAATACCAAGGGAACATTCAAGTAAGCACAAAGTGCTTCGGGCAAAAGTTTAAGAAAGTGTTCGAAATGTGGGAAATTTGGTCATTTTCAAATTATCTTTTTGCAACTGTGATTGCTGTGTTTTATTTTTGCATTTATGTATTTTCAAATTATCTTCATAATATAAGCATGTGTTATTTGGTTCTTGAAATCACCTGAAACAAAGTAAAAGGTCGACCTGATCGAGAAATAGGTCGATCGAGGGACTATAGGTCAACAGTTTGGTAGGCATGGCCGACCGAAGTACTGTTTGGCTGACCAAACCGAGCTGGTCCGGTCTAACCCTATCTACCACACTCCTTTTACTTTCCTACAGCAGCCCCCCTCCACTTATTTTCTATCTTTATCTCTTCCTTGATTTCTTCCTTTCTCTCTTATCCCTTCTTCCACCACCAAAAAATCCTAAAAGGAGCACAAACACTTCCAATCCTTCCTTCTCCAGCTGCTCATAAAAAGAATACGATATGTTTTTCATCTATTCTTTTCATTTGGGTTAGTTTTTGTTCATTCTTATTAGAATATACCTATTAATCAATCCCCCAAATCTGTAAAAATTCTATTTTATGATGTTGTTCGGAAGAATCGGTCGGCCGTGACTCGGTCCTAACTACACCGCGAATTATATCCCGATTAGAGCCCAAGTTTTTAAACTCTAGCCAGGTGCAGTATAGGGAAAGTATTTAATTGTCGAACCCGGGCCGGTCCATGTACCCCTACTTCAATCGCTTAAGTTTTTATCTAGCAAAATAGTTTTGGTTTTAAAACTAAGAAAACGACAAATTAAACAAGCAAGGAAAGTAAATGGAGGAGAATTCTACTCGATCACCCAGGTATTGCTCCCCATAGTCTCATTCTAAGAAGCGACAAACAGAGCTCTAGTGTGAAGGAGGTGTTCATACACTGCGAGGTGCGTGCAACTAGCTAGGGACAAACTCCCTTAGTGGATCAATGAAGTAAAATCAACAAATATAAGCTAGGAGAAATAGCTCTCTTAACCGTTAGGTTAAGAATTGTGATTCATAGCTAGGGAACCTAGCCCTCTTCACTGATCAACCAAGGAGATCCCTAACTCTCTTAGTTAGCTAATTAAGAATCGTTTCAACAAGTTAGAAAGCTAACTCACTTAACGTTTTGGCTAAGGGTGACATTGATAGGCTAGGAAACCTAACCCTCTCGTTTAGCCCACTAAGGATTGCTAACCAAACCCTCAAACTTAATCTGGTCGGCAGAGAGACCAATCCCAGTGGAATTACGGTCCTACTCCGATGCTTGATATTTTGGTCTTAAATTGACCTAAAGGAGGCTACCCAAGTGGCTAAGAAGTCTAGCTTCCTATTAGACCAAAAGGGGATTTCCACCCTCTAGGTTAATTTTACCCACTATTAAGTTAAAGCTAGCACACTCAATCGTTCATGAATAATACCTCAAATATCTGATAAAACACTCAATCAACACAATAGGTTCAGGTTCTTACATCCTAACACATAGAGATACTAGGATTCACAATACCCAAGTGAGTAGGTAGGCTATTCCATAGCTAGACAAGAATAAACAACAAAAGGGGAAGAAATAACCATGAAGTGATGCCAATCTTTCCTCCTTGTTGCTTAAGACTCCCTTGAGATGAAGAAATCTTCAATCCTCTAGCTAGGAACAAGCCCAAAGCTCCTTCTTCCTCCTTTGATTTTCACTTTCTCACTCTAGAAGAAACCCTAACCTCTCACTAGAATCCTCTTTATTCTGAAAAATGAAAACCTAACCTAAAAATGAAGCTCTCCCTTCTTCTTCCTTTCAGCTCTCCCTTTATACTGAGATCGAGCTGAGTTCACGGCCGTGAACACCTAAACGCATCCGTGAACTCAGTGTCATCTCCAAAATGCACCGCATCACTCTCCAGGGTTCACGGTTTGCACTCAAAGTTTATGGTCTTAGAGACCGTGAACTCCAATGTCAGGCCGTGAACTGCAGCTAATTCTTGGACGCCTGCGCTTCCCTGTTACGGCTTTGGACTTTTCTTCGGTTTTTCGCACTTTTTGACCTCCAATCGTCCCGAACTTGTCCTCGACCCTTCCACACGTGCTAGGACCTGAAATGTATCAAAACAAGCACAACCTAGCGTGAACTATGTCGAGGAACGATGAAATGCTAAGTCAAACTATCAAGAAATGAGGGGCAAAATGTGTACAATTGGACCCGAATCACTACCCCACACTTGAACGTTTGCTTGTCCCCAGGCAAACCAAGTACAAAACAAGGTAAGCTTGCAATTTCTCTTTTTCAACAAAATTTTTGAGGCATTTCATAGGGGAAAAAATGAATGAATCACAATGGTTATTTGACACCGACCTATGGACAAAAACAAAGTAATCATGGCAACCACCACAAACCACTTTCAACTATATTAAGATTGTGCAAAAGAAGAGTTCTCACATTATTCATCAACCAACACACAACATGCCTCGACGGCTCACCACTCAAAGTTACTCATGAATAAAGATCACATCATAGGAACGAACGATCGAGCAACCTAAGTCCTCACCGGGGTATAAGAAATGACCAAAACATGATGAATGAATCACTCACTCTCGACCAGTGGGGTCAGGACCATTTGATGCAAAAGATGTGCTTATTCACACTCAATCCTAACGTCCTTTTACCATGACCATAAGCTCTAAATGTTAGAGCTCAGAAGATGGGTGTCGTTGCTATCTTTTCCGGAGGTCTTAGACACGGATTCAGATGACTGGCTAGGGTCTAGGACATGGGGAAAAGGCTTTTTGGGTTGTGGCAAACATAGCATATTTCCATCCTAAAACCACAAAAGGTTCTAAGGATCCTATTAGAACCCTCTCCTATACTCAATGGCCATTAGCATCGGCCAAAAACCGCACTTTTCTCAATTCCAAACTACAACCAATCACCAAACAATGTCACACATACTTTCTTGCCACATTTGCTATTCACTTTCCAGCACAAGAGTGTAGGAGGAGAATAACATGTAAGTTTTCCTAAAGCTTGCATGCTAAGCAATACTTCTAAGAGCATGTTCAACATTTATTATATTTTTTATGGGCATGCTCTTTTCTTATTTGCCCTCTTATTGATCTCTTTTTTTCTCTTTGGGGGCTATAGAGAGCTATGTACACATGCCACATTTCCTTAACTTAAGGAACAATGCTCACTTTTAAGACCTACCTCCACAGTCCACACTCACTTCACATTCTTAGCAAAAACATACACAAATCACACATGTGGAACCTCATCTAAGCTCAAACGGTATAAATGGAACTTCCAAACACAAGGATGACTAGATAACGGTGTAGACACGAAAAAAGCAAAGGGTTGTTCTATCTAAATCAATCAAGCTCAAGTAGCGAGAGCTACCTAACACGAGAATGACCCTTATACACACGACTCAAAAGGGTTGACTAAGAAATAATATGATTGGGTCGGTCAACTTTTGGGTCGTGGGCTAATCCTATGGCTCCATCTTCGGGTTAATTGCACCATCTGCCACTTAAGTTAACTATTTGTTGCACGTTAACCACCTAAGTATTTTACGTTGCAACTAAACCATTTACGTTACCTTCCTGTTGCAACTAAACCATTTCCATCCACTGAACTAACGGTAGGTGCCGAACAGTAATTTTCCATGCCACGCGGGCTGCCACATCAGCTCCTGCAGGGTGAGTCACATGTGGGCCACCATATATTTGGGCCCACAAAACCCAAACAATTACTGCAATTAGCAATAGGCGCAGAGGTTTACAACAGCTTTCAAAGTTCATTCCAGCAGCTGAAACGTCGACACCCTTCCCTGCACATAACAACAACAAAAAACATCAAGCTCTTACTTGGTGAGACTATCGCCACAAGACGTAAGAAAGATTGGCTCAAGCTGTTACGGTAAGTTATCTCTACCCCCTGCCGCAATACTCTATTTGTTATCTTACCCAGGCTCTCGCAATTGTAATTATATGGTTCTTCCTCTGGCTCGATGCTTCTTATTGGCAGGGAATCGAAACGACAGACGAAGCTTTCTTTGGCTATGTTCTTCTTCTTCTTCGTTGTCGACTGATGGAGCAATAGGTGAGTGAATTCTGACTTCTCGGGTTGTTGCTCTGTTTTTCGGCTATGTTTTTCATCTTCATTGTCGGCTGATCAATGGGTGAAAAATGCAGATTAAACCACTCCAAGCTCGTGTTTTCTTGTTGTTTGAGTTTTAAAAATGCGTCCAAGCATTAGGGAAGTAGGGGAAACTGACCAAATTCCGATATATTGTGAGTTTTGCAATTAAAGGTTGCTGCGTTTTTCTTCTCCTGCCATTTTCCAGCTGCAATTTAGTGCTGTAATTGTCAATACATGTTATTTAATTACATATACTTATAGTATTTGTTTTCATTTAGGACTGAAAAATGCTAATTTCACAATCGAACTTCATTATAAGGGAGAAATGGTGTACATACATGAGGAAGACATATATTATTTTGGAGGTGAAGTTATATACTTGGATTGGATTGATCCAGATTGTATGTCTCTGTTTGAGTTAGATGGTTATCTTGTCGACATTGGCTATATGGGAAGTATGAGGGTGATGGAGAAATATAGGACGATATATGGCTGGGCATATTTTTGGAGACTACCCGGAGAAAGATTGAATGAAGGGCTGCACGAACTGACTAGTGACAGTGCTATTCTGGACATGGCTACAAAGATAGTTCAAGAAACCAAGTTTGTGGAGGTGTATTTAATCAATAAAGAAGAGTTAAGGAAAGCTAGATTAGAAGCAGATGAAGGAGCACCTTCAAGTAATCAACCAGCTGCTGACATGGAAGCAGAACACCAATATGAGATGGGAAATGAACACCATGAGATGGGAACTGAATATGGACAGGAGACCAATGATGTTAGAGTGGAGGATGATTTGGAACAAGCTTCATATGAGAATTACGAAGTGAGTGAAAAGGATATGGAAGTGCAGAACAGTGATGTGGAGAATGCAAATGGTGCTATTTATATCGACTCTTCATTTGATGTCAATATTGATGATGAGTTTTATGATTCAGACAATCCGGGGAGTGTTCACTCTGATGAAGAAGAATGTGTTCCAACTCGTGCAAGATACCCTCAATTCAATCCAGAAAAATAAATGAGTGATCCCCAATTCTGTCTACATCAAATCTTTTGGGACTTTAGTACATTCAAGGATGCTATCAAGAACTACTCCATCAATAGCAAGAAACCTCTCAAGTTTAAACATAGTGATAGTCATAGAGTTCAAGTTGTTTGCCAGTCAGGTTGTCCGTGGAACATATGGGTAGGACCGACGGATGATGGAAAGGTTGTCCAAATAAGAACATGTTATCTAAAACATGAGGGTTGTATCATGGTGTTCAAGAACAAGTTTGAAGATGCTAATTTCATTGCTCGTAGGTACATCCAAAGGTTTCAGGCTGATCCAGATTGGGGGACTGGATCAATTATTCAAACTGTAGCAGAGGATTATAATTGGACCATTTCAAGATGGACAGCATGGAGAATCAGGCGCGAAGAGTCTAATTAGTGGCAATGCTAAGGAGCAGTACCGCAAGTTGCAAGACTATTGTGCTCAAGTGCGAAGGACAAGTCTTGGTACTACCTGCTATGTTGAAACGTGTGAGAACTCTAACACATTCAAGAGAATATAATGTTGTTTGGAACCGTGTAAGCAGGGGTTTGTAACTTGCAGAAAAATCATTCTTCTTGATGGCTGCTTTTTGAAGACAGAACATGGAGGACAATTATTGTCTGTGGTTTGCCTAGATGGGAATGGTGGGAGTTTCTCCATAGCATATGTCGCAGTGAATGTTGAAAATGGAGAAAATTGGACTTGGTTTTTAAACCAACTATGCATTGATGTTAATATTTTTGAAGATCCTGGTAGCTGGACTTTCATGTCAGATAAGCAAAAGGTTAGTTTAATTTAAATATTTCTTGCTGCTATTAGTTAATAAGATTGGTTTTAATCATGGTTATGTAATTCGACTTTGAATGGTAGGGGTTGTTGAATGATTTAGAGAGTGTGGTTCTGTATGCAGAACATCGTTGTTGCGTCAGACACCTTGTTTCTAATCTGTTCAGGGCGCAAGGAAGTAACAAAAAAACCAGAGAGTTGTTATGGAAGACTGCTAGAGCAAGGTATGATGCCGAATTTAAAAAGTGCATGACTAAATTTAAAGATCATGATAACAAAGCTCATAGGTGGTTGTTGGATAAACCATATTCACAGTGGTCTAGATCACACTTCCAGCCATTCTGCAAGTCGGATTTGTTGTCAAACAACATATGCGAGAGCTGGAATAGCTCCCTCTTAGGAGCTAGGACTAAACCAATCATAAGCATGTTCGAGACCATCAGGAATATTCTCATGCGCAGATTTCATGTAAGGAGGGAGAAGGCAGAGTTAAAATTCAAAGGGAGGTTTTGTCCCACTATCCAACAAAAGCTAGACTTGTTTCAGAAAGCTAGCTTTAGGTGTACTGTCATCCAAAGTGGTCCTCAAAAGTTTCAAGTTGTATGTCCAGAGGGGTAGCTTGTGGTTTACTTAAGCAAGTCCAAATGTACTTGTAGGATGTAGGAATTGACAGGTTTACCTTGTCCTCATGCCATTCGCTGCATATGACAAATTTCGAAAAAAGGTCGAGAATTATGTGGAAAAGTATTATGAAGTTGCAAGCTACATCAAAACTTACAGTGGAATTGTGGAACCAATGGTTGGACCGGAATCAAGGTTACCAAGTGGAAGAGAGCTTGTGCTGCCACCATATGTAAGTGTAGAAGAAACAAAAAAATGAGGAAGACGGCAAATGAAAAGGAGAAAGGCAATTGAGGAGACAGCAGGTCCTGATAAGCAGAAACGTAAGTTTAGAGATGGAAATGAGAGGATGAGTAGAAAGGGTAAAGGGGGAACCATTCTATGTAGCGTGTGTAAGCTGCCTGGACACAATAAGTCATTTCATTCAAAAGGGAACAAGGATGGAAGCTCAATGGCAGGTGCTGCATCTGATGGTGTATATGTTGGTGATATGAGTTCACAAGCTGTAAGTTCAAACTGATTTTACAATTTTTTAGCCAAATAATCCACTGCCATCTTATAGATTGAAGTTACCATGTTTGTGTATATGATATGTAGGGAAGTGCAGCACCTACGAGGCCAACTGGTGTTGTTTTACAGTAGATGCCTGATGTACGGTTAGCTCATGTTTCAATCAATTATTGTTTGTATCTTATGAGAACTCTAACTGACTGTTTGTCAATAGGGAAGTAGCCGGACTCGACCCATGAATCCTTCAAGCCAGAATTTCAGCTCACTTTCTTTTCCATCACAGCAAAGTAGCCAAACTCAAGTAATATTCAGTTAAATTTAGATGATTGAGGCAGAGAAGTATAAAATGAGGGTTCAATTAACATGCTCTTTCCGTTTCAGGGACATCAAAATTTCTTTGGACAAGAAGAAAGGAGGCCAAACATGCCTTCTGCAGCCTCGGGACCAGAACACTTCTCTCAAGAAGACTAGCTGATGTGGTTAAGCAACACAAAAAGGAGCTGCATTTTTTTATAGTTTAGCAGGCTAGAAAACGAGTTTAATTTGTTAAGCACCTGCAGTTTTTTAGACTGTTAGCAGGCCAGAACAACAGTTTAAGTACCTGCATCTTTTTGAGGTTTTCGTCAGGCCAGATAACTAGTTCATTTTGTTAAAGATCTGCATATGTTTGAGCTTTTCAGCAGGCCAAAACACTGGTTCATTTTGTTTAACCAATTAAAAGACTCCTAGACAGTTCTTTTATGTCTTGTTGTCTTCTTTAAGGGTTGCCTCCTACCCTGTACGGATACAACATTATGTGGAGGGAAAATGTTGCCCCTCATAATGGATTGATGATCTTAATTAGGTTCCTTCATTTATAATCAACGACGGCAGCAACAACAGTTAAAATGAAAGCAAATACAGCAGCAAGAGCAGTTAAAATGTCACAAGATTGCAGCCTTGATTGAACATACTTAGGTTCTTTCATACATCTCAGTCCTACAGCTTCTTGGTTACAAAATACAACACGCTGGAAAATTACACCATCCCAAATATGAAAACAATCACTCTCTTTGCCAAAGCAACACCAACAACAACAACAAAATCCTTCCACGAGTTCTTTAATAAACGACTTGTGGTTGTTCCTATTCTCCAACTCTCGGATCCTCTTATGTAAGGAAAGAAGAACCCGCTTAGTGTTCTCCTCAAGTGGCGGATCGATCCAACGGAAAAAAAATTACATGCTTTCCCATCTTATGAATCAAATAAGAAGAACGAACATAAGAAATAGGTCTGGGTTGTTTTAAGTAAATTTGAAAGCCAAGATTCAAGTGTTAGACATACCCCATGTTGGAGAAGCCAAAGAAGCATCTAGCGGGATTGTTATCGGTCCATGAGGTACGAAGAATCGCTGGTTTTGCGCAACGGCACAATGGAGTTGCTGGTGATGCCATTCAAGTGCTGTAAACAAGAGATGAAAATGCAGAAGAGAAGAAGATTCGAGAAGGGAGGAAGAACTTTTGCGTTGGAGAAGAGAAGAGGATTGAAGTTAGAACAAGAAGAGAGGAAGAGATTTACGTCTCTGGTTTCTGGAAGGGTTTTTTGGAGGAAGGTTTTGGGGAAAAGAAGAATAATAAACATGCTATATTTAGTGGACGGAAATGATGTGACAGGAGCTGATGTGGCAGCCCGTGTGGCATGGAAAATTACTATTCGGCACCTACCGTTAGTTTAGTGGACGGAAATGGTTTAGTTGAAACAGGAAGGTAACATAAATGGTTTAGTTGCAACGTAAAATACTTAGGTGGTTAACGTGCAACAAATAGTTAACTTAAGTGGCAGATGGTGCAATTAACCCTCCATCTTCCTTGCTAGCGACAACGTGAACCCTATACATCATGTAAAGGGGGATCTATCACACAAGAACAAAACGAACGACACAACTCTCACATGGCTAACTAGGTGCTCAATCATTTGTTCTAATTCCCTAAACTCGATGCATAGGAAACTGTGAAAAGTAAGTAATCGATTGAAAACATCTCTCGGTTCACAAACACATGAGAAATGAACCTATGCACAAACCTAATACATGTCTCAATCATCATCATAGGTTGCACATAATCACAAGCAAATCATCCATAGACAATGCTAATAACCACGAGATTCAAAACAAATCACCACAAGGTGCCACTATGATCATGCAAATGTAGAAGTTGTTATGCTAGGAGCCCTCAAATTTTAAAATTTTGGGCATGCAACTACGCTCCAAGCATTCAAAATCGCACCAAACATTCACACACACATGCATAATGGACTACCCCCCCCCCCCCCCACACACGCACACTTAAGCTCGACATTTCCCTCAATGTCGTAAAAGAAGGAGGTAGAACGATGTTACCGGATAGTGGTGAATGTTGTTGTTCGGGAGCGGAGGGCAGGTGAGATCCGGAAGAGCACGGAGGCGGCAAAACAAAGGGTCGACTTATTGAAGCCAAAAGGAAACAAACCGATGGCGGTTGGGTTGCCTCCGAACAAGCGCGTCTTTAAGTCGTGAGCCGGACGGTTGCTCTTCAAGTTTTGGTCCACCCATTCACCTCCTTGAAGTTGAGGTTCTCATCGGTGTGATGAAATCTCAAGTCACGAGCATTGGACGAGTCCATGATTGAGGGCTCGTGAACTTGATCGGCTTTGAGGCTCCACCCACGAGACGAGACCTCTTCTTCTCCTTTTCTTCTCCTTTCCCTTTGCCCCATACCATGTAGTCCATCATTGCTTGACTTCCATCGCATCCACCAATAGGGATCGCCGATAGTTTGGCCTTGGCTTGGCAAAGAGCCGCAAACGGGTCCTTCTCTAGAAGTGCATCGAGTTCGGGTGGGAAGCATTGGTAGCTCTTATAACTTGTGGATGCTTCATCCACCTCGACCTCGTCCTCATGTTGGCCCCCATTTGCTCCTTCAACTTCATATTCAACCTCCCTTCCTTCTTCAAAATTTGATTCCTTCCAATGGGAACACTCAAGATCTTCCTCCTCTTCAATGCTCACTTCCTCCTCTTCAACCTCTTTTCCGAACTTCACATTCATG